TATCCAAAAATTCTAATAGGATATTTTGTCTTACATACATAACTTTTTAGTATACATGAAGCAAGAAAATCTAAATATGCATTCCAAATAAAATGCAATACTTATGAAGATTAGAAAAATTCATTTATTTGATATTCTCTTGTATCGGATAAAGTCTTATCCTATGATTCTATTTTTTGATAATGATTAAACAAAAATTATTTCTGAGTTTTTTTTAATTTCAAGTTGTTCTAGAAATTTATTTGCAGTTATAAATGTTAAGATGTTAAGCAAATTGATTGAGAACCTAAGAAACAACATCAGATGGTTTTGTTAGATAATTAATAATTGAATAAATCTATTATTATTGTAAGAATCGATGACAATCCAATAATTATTATTTAAAGGTGAACATCTGTAATATCATCCTTTACCAAGATAAATTGACCAAATTATTTCAAAAGATTTTATTGAACGAACTTTAAGACAACTTTCATTATTATTATGATGATTAATTATTAATCCTAGATTACATTCCTTTGATTTCATATCACTTATAACTTCATGTAATAAAACTGTTCTTGTAGAAATATCTAAATTGATCAAGAATCATATACCATTTGAATTTGTGGATAAATGAGCATTTTATTGTTTTCTACAAATAAATAAACTATTCATTGCTAAAATGAAATTTCTGATTTGTAGAATATCTTTCAAGTTTTTGCTGAATATGTACTTTTTTTCTTAACCTGTTTTCAATGTGCTTCAGAAATGTCCATGGTGGTGTCCTTACGGTAACGGCGGTTTTTTTAAATAATCATCGCGACGATAGAGATAGACATTAGCAAAGACATTAGGTTCGTTTGTTTTTTTTTCTGATGTCTAATAACAAGTGAAGAATACATCTCGAAAAAATCATAATATAATGATTTATTTGAGTAGATTTGTCATCAAATAGAAATTTATCTCATGACTATTATTTATTTGTTTCAAATCTGTTTATCTTCTATGATCGCTATATTCAGTGTCCCTCAAAGGTTCGATCTAATCAATTGAAATACTATTCTGAATATATTCTGTGTTATTAAAATAGAATGATCAGATGATATGAGAACAATGTTAATTCAATAATAAAAGGATTTTCATCAAACGTTGAAGTAAATAAAGCTGTATCATAGCAAGTTCCATGTTGCTATGAATAATTCTTAATAGAATTAATTGAACATAATTCTAATGCAATCAGTTTATCATCAAGAGTATAAATATTTTTTGGTGATATTATAATAAATCGTGAAAGTATATTGGATCAACAAATATCCTTGATTCCGTTTTGTATAGATGCTTTTTTTCTCAATAGTTATTAAAGATTGATCAAATAAATATAAATTAGATTTTTTTAAAACTTCTGAGAATGTTTGATTTGTTGATAAAGAATTCCAATTATCAGATTGAAGTTTTGTCGTATGTTTTGGAGCTTTTAAGTCTACAAAACAATTTTTGTCTGATTGATTTGTATTAAAATGAGAAGTTGAAAATGATGATGATAAATTAGGTTTTAATCCATTTGGTGATGATAAATTAGAAAAAAAAGTTCTTTTATTGAAGATAAATAATTTTTTAAGTCAGATATTCGACTTGGATAAACAATTATCAATTTTCAGTGGAGAAACTATTGATTTATCTTGTTCGAATTCAACAATTGGTTGATGAATTGGTTGAATTACATATTTAGCCGAATCCAAATAAGCTTCTGAAGCATCATGATCACTACCTGGTTAATGAATTTGAAATTCTTGTGACCTATCAATATCCACTTTTGAACTTCTTATATATTCATCATGTTTTGGTTTATAAAATTTATCAATGGTTTCATGAGCTTCATTTCTTCTCTAATTAATATATTGGTTGATTTTTATCTTCATCATCATCTTCTTCTAAATGATATCGATTGTTTATTATTAAAACAAGAAAAAACGTTTGATTTTTTTTGGAAAAAATTTCAATAAGAAAAAGAATAATTTGACGAATTTTTCTTTCATTTAATTATGTTACAAACCTAGATTACAAAAACAGAAAAAAAAATATAAACCATTGAATAAAACATAATAAACCCATCAACTTCCTATATAGAGAAAATTATCGAACTAGTATCAGATTTACATAAAGCTAGTCTAGTAAAACTAGAAAATTTTCTTCATTTCCTCAGTATTAGAGTCTTGATGTCTTTTCATTATTGATTTTATTGACGAGATTTTTTTTTTAATATGCTATTTATTGTGACGCTCGGGAGCGCTTACATGGGGATTTTCAAGTTTCCACAGCAGCATGAAGTATAGTTTTAAGCAGAGATATAGAGATGCCAGTTAACTTGGTTTGAGAAAACTGTTATGAACTCGTATCATATAGAGGAAAGTACTAGAAAAAAGAGAACAAACAAAAAAAGAAAGAAGAGAAGCAGTAAGAAAAAAAGGAGAAAGAAAAAGGAGAAAATGAAAGTGAAAGTGTTGTGATATGGGGGAGAAAAAAGCAAAGAAAAAGAAAAGAGAAAAGGGAACACAAAAAGGAAACGAAAAAGACGAAAGAAAGATAAGCTGAAATATTAAAAAGATTGCAGATATATATGAAAGACACAATCATCACATGCCTGTGTACCTAGTTTATATATTCAATCCATTTTACTAAAAAAACTTCATGTCTCTCTTTTAAATTTTTTACTCGTTTCATTCGGAATAGATGACCTAGATGGTCTCCTTTTCTTTTTTTAAACTCGTCCCAGTAAAATATATCGTAGTAAAAGAAAGACTTTCCTAAGACAGATTTATGCATTTGCTTTAGCCTTTTCCTTATGTATTTTTTACATAAAAATCTAGATTGTTTTCTTTTAATCTTTCAAACAGCATATGATCCGATGTATATTGACATCGATGTATTAGTCTCATTCCTACCCGGAATTTGCGCCTCAGGATTTCTTTTTGAGTTTTGGGTAATAGTGGAAAAAAAGGAAATAGCCAAGCGAAATGTGGGAAACTATAAGCGAAAAAACATGTTCTTAACACTGCTGTGGGTAATGTATCTCCTGCTCTTAACCATTTCATTTTTATGAACGATTTCTGTATGTAATCCACACATTTATCGATAGTTGGTTTCAAGGACAATTTACTTGTCCAGGTAAAACCCAAATATTTAAAGGATTTAATTACTTCGATCGTATGTCCGTCCATAGTGATATTTATTTGTGGTATTGTAACTTGTGAGAAAAAAATTTGTGCTACTGTTTTACTAACATTTATCGGTTGTTTCCATTTCCGTGAGTATGCTGAGATCTGATTGCATACTTTAGTCCCTTCTTTCTTTAGATATTCTATCATGGGTGCCAAATTTTTTGATATCGCAGGTCTAATGAGCACATTAAGGTCATCTGCAAAGAGATGCGCCGATGTGCTCCAAAACATGTGGTCAGATCACTGTGAAAAACAATAAAAAGATAAGGACTTAAGCTATTACCTTGTGGAAGACCCGAGAAGATTTTAAATTTATTCGAGCTTTGCTCTCCGAAGACAATATAGGCTTTTCTATCCATCAGCCATGATGCGATGACTTTGAGTAAGCCGATAGGCATACCTAAGCGATTCAGTTTAACTAACAGTGCTGCATGCCAAACTTTGTCATAGGCTTTCTGATAGTCCACATATATGGCGAGAGTTGGTATATTGGCTGCCTTATTATTATCAACTTCTTGATATATAGAGAGTACTCTAGTGGAGAGAAGATATCCGGGACGAAAACCTGACTGTTCAGATGGAATTAATTGATTCGTTTCTGCCCAATATCGTACTTTTTCCAATATCACTTTTTCGAAGAGTTTTGAATGTGTTGCAAGTAGCGAAATCGGTCTCGTTTGGTCGCATCGCGGAACTCCTGCTTTTAATTTATTTAATGTTACTATTTTAGCTAATTTCCATTGCTCTTTGATATCTACCCTCTTTAAGTCACACATTAAAACAATTTGTCAAACATATAATGTAACTCGGTGGGAGCAATTTGATCATGTAGTTCGAAATTTGGTCAAAACCTGATGACTTTTTTGGCTTGAGCTTTTTGATATATTTTGTTATTTCGAAAGCACTAGTTTGTTCTCATTTTTCCTCTGAAATGCTTAATTCGTTCAGTAATAAACCATGTTCTTCTTCAATTTTTGTGTCATTTGGATCATCTTTATTTGTTTCTGTTTTTTGAAACTGGTTTTCATAATATGAGAAAAGTGTGTTAACTATTTCCTTTTTGTCTGATATTATCGACTGTCCACTATCTATCTTTGAAAAAGGCAAGCTTTTGGATTTGTATACACGAGGCAAGTGAGACCAAAAAGCTTTTTCTGGTCGATCGGATTTCTCTTTAATTGTTGTCAAGAAGGATTGCNCTGACCCACACACTTTTCAAGATCAAATCCCGAACACTTTAAATTGTCCAATATAACCAGTTCTATAACGAAAACAAAGCGATTCATGTCTTCGCAAAGTATTTTCATAGAATATCTTTGTTCAGTAAAACAATATGTCCATGATAGAATGCTATTGCAAATATTATTGTATTATTCAATTGAGTGGCTTTAGTAGACATAGATGCTCAATATTATAATCACTCGGTCTCTGAATTGTCACGATTCTAAACTTTAGCGATAATACTCACTGTCTTATCTTGATGAAATCAACAATAATCAGGATTGATTGAAAATATCTAACAGTAAAAGTAGTGTTAATAATAATTATCAAAAATTCTAATTTAATGTTTTTTGTCTTACATATGTAATTTTTTACTATATATAAAACGAGAACATCTAAAGATGCATTGCAAATAAAACGTAATACTTGTTTAAATTAGAAAAATTCATTTATTTGATTATTTTAGTTCTTGTTTGGTATTTTCTTGTCTCAGATGAAATCGTATCTTATGATTCTATTTTTGATAATGATTAAACAAAAATTATTTTTGATTTTTTTTTGTCAAGTTATTTTAGAAACTTATTTGCAATTGTGTATGTTCAGATGGTCAGCAGTTCTTATAACAACTTGATTTAGACTCCAAGAAACAACATTAAATGGTTTTGTTGGATAACGAATAATTTGATCAATAGTAGCGTGATCAGATATTTGAATAAATCTATTATTATAAGAATCGACAATAGTCCAATAATTATCATTTAAAGGTGAACATCTATAAAGCCAACCTTTACCAAGATAAATCGACCAAATTAATTCAAAAGATTTTATTGAACGAACTTCAAGACGACTTTCATTATTATTATCATTATTAATTATTAATCCAAGATTATTTTCATTAGATTTCATATCACTTATAACTTCATTTTCTTTACAAATTATTGATGATTGCCATCGTTTATTTAAATGTATTGATGGGAATATATTATATTCAATAATAAAAGGATTCTCACCAAATGTTGAAATAAATAAAGTCGTATCACAACAAGTTCCACGTTCCCATGGATAATTTTTAATAGAATTGATTGAAGATAATTCTGATTCAATAAGTTTATCATCAAGAGTATAAATATTTTTTGGTGATATTATAATAAATCGTGAAAGTATATTTGACCAACAAATATCTTTGATTCCAATTTGTATAAATGATTTTTTCTCAATAATTGTAAAAGATTGATCAATTAAATATAAATTTGTTTTTTCTGAAACTACTAAAGATGTTTGATTCGCTGATAAAGAATACCAATTATCAGATTGAAGTTTAATCATATGTGTTGGAACTTTTAAATTTACAAAAGAAATTTTGTTCGATTGATTTGTATTAAAATGAGATATTGAAGATGATGATAATAATATATCAGAAAAAAGTTCTTTTACTGGAGATGAATGACGTCTTAAATCAGATATTCGACTTGGATAATTAATTAAACAATTATCAATTTTTAATGGAGAAAATATTGATTTAACTTGTTCAAAATCATCAATTTGTTGATGAATTGATTGAATTACATTGTTAGCCCAATCCAAATAATCTTCTGAAGCATCATGATCGCTAGTTAATGAATTTAAAATTTCTTTTGATCTATCAATATCTTCTTTTGTTCTTCTTATATATTCATCATGTTTTGATTTGTAAAATTTATCAACTGTATCATGAGCTTCATTGCTCCATTCTTTTAAATCTTTTAAAAATTTTGATTCATTTGTATGAAATTGATTAAGTCGATCTAATACTTGATGAATATCATCAGCTAAACATATTCGTTGATTTTTATTTTCATCATCATCATCATCTTCTTCTTGACAAGAGTTAAATTGATTTTTGTTTGACGATGACATTTATTATAATCATCCAAATAAATATAAATTTTATATCGAATGTGTATTATTAAAAAAAAAGAGAAAACGTCAGATTTTATTTGAAAAGAATTTCAATGACGAAAAAGAATAAAAAATTATTTTTTTTCTTCGTCTGTTGGAAGCCAAAAAAAGCGAAAAGAATAATTTCGTAGATTTTTCTTTATTTAGCAATGTTACAAAAGCCTGGATTAAAAGAACAGAAAAAAAAGAATATAAATATGAAACATAATAAACTCATTGACATGCTATATAGGGAAAATGATCGAATCAACATCAGATATACATAAAGCTATTCTAGTCAAACTAAAAAATATGCTTCAGTACATAGAGAATCTTAATGTCTTTTTAATATTGATTTTATTGACGAGATCAATGAAGAAAAGATGATGATTTGCAATTATATTTAGAATAAAAAAAACTCATAGATCTATATTTATTCAACGACGTCAATTATATTTCAACGTCAGATAAACAATGAAAAAATAGTTCTCTTAACAATAGGACAATTTTTAGTTGTGAACTGATTGATAATCGAAAACGTATTCATCCTTCATGAACTTAATCATCATATGTAACTAACCTAATCGCTTTGCATGGATTTATGTTTCGATGCTCGATATAAAAACTAATATAATACAGTAGAAGCTTTAAAAAATTGTTACTCTGTGTACAATCGATGTTTAACTAATATGTTAAGAAATGAAAATATTTACGCTCTAAAAGAAGTCTATTTTATGTATGTCGATTTATTTCGTATGTAAAAAATGGTTTATGAAGAAAAATTTTCATTTTATTGTCAACTATTCTTTTCACTAAGATTTTTCGATTACTTATACAATTTGCTTGATAATTAATAGAAAACAATGAGTTTAGACAAAACTCATTTATTTTCTTTGAATTTATTCGAAAGAATTATTATCAAGATATATCATTAATTTTCATATTAAGATTTTTATATTCAATCAATAATAAAGAAAAAAAATGATGCCTTGATTTTATTATTGTTGTTTATTAATATTTTTTCTAAGAATGATATTGAATTGTATTTGATATTAATTTATTGAATGCGAGTATTTTCAATAAAAATGTTCCTTTTCATTGATCAATGCTTTCATTTATATTGAAATTTCGCGAAATTCTTTGTGGGTGTGAGTGTGGGTGTGGGTGGGGTGAGTGTGGGTGTGGGTGTGTGGGTGTGGGTGTGGATGTGGGTGTGGATGTGGGTGTGGGTATCGGTGTGGGTGTCGGTTTATGGGTGGATGTGCTGATATGTGGCTGGTTGTGGGTGGGCGTCGGTATATGGATGTCTGTCTCATAGAAGCGCACACACCAGCACACCCACACCCACACCCACACTCACTCACCCACACCCCACACCCACACACCCACAGCCACGCCCACACCCGTACTTTGAATCGTATTTAATTGACAGAATATCGACGGATTTTGTGTCGAATGTAATTTCGGATATGTTTCGTAGAAAAAGAGACGTATACGGTTGTTGTTTCAACTGATCGACTGCTGAGCGAATTTTTTCAATATTATTTAACAAAACAACGTAGGCAACGTAGAACTGATGGTACTTACAATGGAGGTGTGTGTATTGTTGAGCGAAAAAGTGGCACATGTTCGGGTCAAATGAAAGCTCTCAACGCCAAACTAACAAGGTTAAAATATTAGCGGCAGTTGGCTTGCCTAGAGGGAGATATTTAACTTTT